CCCTCCTGCGGTCGTCAAAAATGGCGGCGGTCTCGCCAGCCTCGATTGGCGCCAACGGAAGTCCACCAAGATGAATAAAATGGAACTCTCCAATCTGCAGGTAGCCCTCAACAACGAGATTCGCGAGCGGGAGCTGGCTCAACAGCAACTGCGCGATCTTGAGCAGCAGGTAGACGAACTGAATAAGTAAGTTGTGGTCATCGTTGTTTTAGCCCCTTGGGTCTTTTTACCAACCATACAGATTGGGAGTGCATACTTGGTTCCTATTTCCTAAAAGCACAGACAGGGCGTATTATAATATACTAATTAATGGTCTTAGTGAGTATGATTACTAGAATTCGCACTTTAGCATATGCACGTACTTATAGCAGCAGTATCCGAGTCCTCATAGTCCAAACCCAGTAGAAACTAGTTTCTGCTACTTCTTTCTGCTTATGTCTTTCATGCAGAATCCGTGACGGATGTCAAAACGTCAGGCGAATTAAGGTGTTGTCCTAGTGATCAAATCTTCTTCACAGCCTGGTGGATAAAGTTGAAAGGGCGGAAACCAAGGCGAGTCCTGATGTGCTCAGGGCCTCAAACATGTATTTACTCGAAATAGCATAAACCCAGATTCCTCGGTCCTTGTTGAAATCAAGGGGTATGAGCCCCAGCGTTGATTTCAAATCAGCGTCACCTTTGACTAATATTAGCGTCAGAAATATTACCAGTACTACTTAAACTCAGCTACCATGCTAGTCAGTAGTAGTAACCGTATCAGTCTCGGCCTCACTGAGCCTTTCTTTACACCTACTGAAGGTTAATGAGGGTAGGTAGTGCGGTTGTACCCGCGCAAAGGCTACTGTCTCTTAAGACTAAGTTAGGCGGTGTTTCTGGCTTGCATTGGAGAAAGCAGCCAACGCCGTGTCCCGCTTGGCCTTCTTGAAGCCGGGCGAAGGTGAAGAGTGCGGTAAGCGCCAACTACGTCTCCATCACTATAAACTACCCCCTTACGCCCGTCTCCTTCTGCAATCCAGTGGAGCCTCGGATGACGAGCAGTCCCATGTACGAGCATTTCAGGTAA